GCAGCCCTTGCTCTCTTCAAATACTACCTGCTTGAGAGAAAACAAATGGTTAAAATCGGCACTACTATAAGTCAAGAAGAATGTATGTCTTATGGTGGGACACCATAAGACAACATTACATACTGGAACTGTCCTCGGTCCAACCCTGTTCTTAATATATATTAATCAATTGTGTAACTTTTGGAACTGTGGAGAACAGATCTTCTCATACGCGGATGACACCGCGGTTGTTTTTTCCGGGTGTTCTTGGGAAATAGTACAAAATGTAGCTGAAAAGGGCTTAGCGGTTATTGCCAACTGGTTGAACACTAATCTACTAACCTTAAACGCCACAAAAACTAAATACGTATGTTTTTCTCTCGATCAGAGAACTCAACCAGATGCTAAGTTTCGGCTCAAGGTTAATATCTGTGCGATTCTAAGTGACAGTTGTTGTTTATGTCCAAGTATAGAAAAAGTTAGCTGCATCAAATACTTGGGTGTTATGGTTGATCAAAGGCTCTCCTGGCATAATCAAATTGAAACGATTATTGGCAGGATTCGTAAACTGGTCTGGATCTTTAAAAATATAAGGTATGTGATGTCCAGTACTTTGTTGAACGAAATTTACGTTGCCCTTGCACAGTCCATACTCACATACTGTATTCCTGTGTGGGGTGGTGCGACTAAAACTAAATTTCTTCACTTAGAGAGAAGTCAAAGATCACTCTTGAATGTGATGTACTTTAAAGCTTATAGATATTCAACACATGAACTTTATAAAACCTGTGGACTCTTATCGGTAAGAAAATTATATATTTTGAAACTCCTTCTTTACCTTCACCAAAAACTACCTTTCGACCGCAGTAAAGCTAATATCAATAAAAGACGTATAGAAAAAGTTGCACCGTCTCGCGCAGTACGTACTGCCTTTGCTCGCCGTCAACTGACATCACGGTCCGCTTACGTATATAATACTCTAAATCGAGAACTAAATATATACCCGGATAAGTTATATGATTGTAAAAGAATATTAACTAATTTCTTCTCAGAGTTATAATGAAACAGAGAAACTCATAAATACAATTATATAAGTAACATACACCCAATGAGGCCGACTGACTGAAATTTGTTATACGAAAATTAATATGTATGAATAGACCATTAATTTATTATTTGGTCGTATGTCGATAACCCCCTTCATAACCCGACCTCTTCACCCCAACCCTTCCATTAAAGTTTCTTCACATAATAATATTTTCATTTTCCTTACATTTCATCAAAACCATCCTTACCATGTCCCAAAACTGCTCTCTTTTATAAGTGGGCTTAGACATGTCTAGGACGTACACCCCTAGCACAAACGGCTTTTTTCTAGCCTCGGGCTTACACATTCATACTCTTTCACACATTAATCTATTCTTTCTGAAAGGATGATACCGATTCCCTGGCATGCCCGCTCGGTCTCGTCACACCAGACCAATACGTGGTATACGTGCCATGCGCAGTGGCATCCTTTCCATTTCGTTTCGTCTCGTTTACATATAACACATAAATTCCTCTATCATTAATCATTTCGCATATTTCATCCATTTTATCATTCATTACTCCATATACATTCAGCGTCGCCAGACGGGCCTCCGCAATCCTCTTTTCGCCCCTCCGGGAGAGAGAACGTGACGGGTGTCGAATCTTGTCACCGGTTTTACTCCCGGAGATTCTTCGCACCCCTGTCTCATTAAAGGGGTGCCGGGAACTCGAGGTCATTTCTTTTATTTTGTGCCTCATGATGCGAAACTAGAGGGTGTGGTAGATTTTACGTTACAACCAACGGCGAGGAGCCGAGTCTATTCTTTCGGCTTTATCGCTCGCCCGGGGGACACGTGTGGGGTTAGGTGGTCGAAGCCTACGGAGACGAGTGGCTCATCCAAATGTCAGTTGTGTTTTCTATTTTATAATTTATCTGACTTATTGCGTTAATGAAATCATTATTAATAATAGATACTGTTTCAGGAGGTTCCTTTCTTATTTTATTTATGTAGTTTTTAGTATAAATACTATTTGTCTCATTTTTAATGATTGTCCAAGTAGCTTTACATATATTTTTACTATTTACCATTAACTTATATATTACTAGCGTAAGGACCGGGCCGACCGCACAACTAAAACGGACCAGTACGCTGGCCCTAAAATTACAGTTTAGGGCCAACGCGAATCGGTCGAAAGTGGTGCGCGCGCAGGACAGATTTGTCTTTCATAAATGTCAAGATGCGTGATAAAAGAATGCAAAAATTACGATATAAAGATTTAAAAATAATATGGTTTATGGTATCATCGGTAAATAACCTTATATTAATTTTGTTACAATAAAATTATTACATAAACACATTTTTAAAGTTTTATTTTTCAGTCAGTTCAGTTATGTTACCAAGATTAGGCCAGGGTTGGATTCAGACCCTCAAAAATATTCTGCATGGAAAATAAAATTATACTATTTTTAAAAAAAAAATATAGTACGTCCGACGTTTCATGTTATTTTTTCCCATGTGCCGGGATTTTGGTGTCACGCGTCTAGTTTATCTATACGTTTCGTTTTTTGACGGTTTTATTTTTATTTCTGTTTAATTTTTGTCTAAAGAACTTAGTATAATTAAAATTTTGAATATTGGTACCTAATATATTTTATATTCAATAAGGGTAAAATGAAAAGAGTACAAAAGAAACCATATCTGCTTAATTGAATCTGAAAATCTGATTCATAAAATATTTTGAAATTCTGTTTTCAAACCGATTGCTTCTGGAGCATAGAGTTTTATCGTGGTAGTCTAGTCTCATTATAGTTACACCAAAACTGACCATAATTTCATTGTCAGCGGGATGTAGGTATTTTATCTCACTAACAAAATGGTGTTAATCCCTTGTTTGTGCTCTGGTATGTCCTTTCGGTGGTGACAGTATTTTTGCCAAGTGTTGCACCTAAAAGTAGTATTATTAATTAAAAAAACATACGGTACGTGATTCAAATTTAGATGTACTTAATAATAATAATAATAATAGGATATTACTGAAGTTCATGTAAAACTAGAATAACAATAATCACATTATAACTTTCACTTGTTTTATGGTTTTATGGTTTTTTATAAATCCGTTAAAAATAGTTTAATTTCGACGTGTAAAATTCGCTTAAATATTTGAATATCACGTTTCAATCAACCACTTAATGCTATTACTTATTGTGTAATCACCATTGGTATTATACTTTTTTTAATGTAACGGTCCATACTAAAACTGGCAAGTATAGAGATGGTATAGCGGAATCCAACAGCCTTCTACGGTTTTTCATAATATGAAGATTGTCTTCTGTGAATGAATGAAGATTGTCTTGTGTGAAAGAATAGTCCTGTCTGTGATGATGGTCCGGTCCCAGTAGAGTCTGGCGCGGTCATTTTCGAGCACGGATTCCGGCAAGTACTTGTAATACGGCAATTATCAGTCCACGAGACCGTATTTCAGAGCGAGCTCCTGTGTAGAATTCTGGCTACTAGGTTGTGCCTGTGCAAGTACTCAGAGTTAGAAAGCGCCGAACAACCGGAAACGACATGCCTAAGTGACTCCCCGGGAATGGCGACAAGCTCGACAGATGTCGACAGTGCCACCCTTTAGGATGTATCTCCGATAGTTGTTGGTCTTAATAACCTGATCCTGTATTGCACAGACAAAACCCTCGGTTTCCCCGAAGAGGTCACCGAAACGAAGCCAGTTGAGGGAGGCGACTGTATCTACGAAGGGCTCATGAAGAGCCCTGTAGTACCACCCGTGGAGCTCCTTCTCCTTCCATACGGTCTCCCGATCGGAAATGCTAAGCATTGCTGGGTCTTGCCATTGCTCGTGGGCTAAGGATAGAGGGGTAAGCCCTTTATCACTAGAAATGACGTCATTATAGAATGGATCATCCGATCTCGCCAAGAAGTAATCACGGAGGCTGCACACTTCGCGATTATGTATGGTGAGCGCGCTCAGAAAACCACGCCCACCATGATTTCGCGGCAAGTACAGCCTCATTACCGACGATCTCGGATGATGCATCCTATGGGACGTCATGGTAGTGCGGACTTTTCTATCCAGGGCGTTAAGTTCGGCCTGAGTCCACCTGAGTATGTCAAAGTATATATGAGGACAGGCATGACCCAACCGTTATATGCGTGTGTCTTATTCACACCGGACAAAAGGCTGTTAAGCACTTTGGTCAAGCGTGCATAAAACACGTCGCAAACTGACTGTTTCATACCAGCCTCATCGATACCGATGCTCTGTGACATACCCAGGTATCGGTATGTTTCAGCCTCGGAAAGGGTTTTTAAGTTGACTCAGAGTTAGCAACCCTTCCCCTTTCAACATGAAGGACCGCACACTTATCCGTCCATTCCAATAGAATTGCTAAATTCACAAGTGATGTTTAGCAATTCCACAAGATGGGAGCGACTGGTGGTGAATAACTTGAGGTCATCCATATAGAAAGGTGGGTCACTTTTGTTCCTCCCTTCCGTAGCTGAAATCCTCTCCCGGAGCCGAGTCGAATGCCTTTCTAAAGCGGAAAGAATACAGTCTATCCAGGCGGCGGAGAAGTTCCGACGGTTGCGTTTCACCACTTTGCCAATGACCGCGTCAATGAGCAGTGGTTCGTTGGTTCCACGACCACCGCCCCGACATCCATTTTGAGCGCGTGACATCACCTGATTTAGCTTCAGGTGACGAGTGATTCTCGCGCTCAAAATGGATGTCAGTGTCTTATATATAGTGGGTAGACACGTGATGGGGCGGTATTTGCTCGGGTCTGTGGTATCCTGATCTTTAGGAACCAAGTGAGTGATCCCAGTAGTGAAGAGGCTCGGGAGCGACTTCTGATCGAGAGCCTCTTGATACTGTCGGGCGACCACAGCGTGACATACTACGAACCCCTTCAGCCAGTAATGATGCAGCCCGTCGAGCCCAGGACTTTTCCAGTTCGGGGCCCTACGGACCGCCTCAGCCACGTCTTCAGGCGTTATGGTGACGGGGTCCATAGATGTAACACTTGCACTCTGGCTCGCCACAACTTCCATCCAAGGGCCCTCGCTGTGGTTTACGGGTTCTGACCACAGGCCACGCCAAAATGCGACAGTGTCAGCCTGATCCGATCCTGGGCCCGCTCCACATACCTCTGGTCGCTCCAATGATTTACAGAGCCTCTTCTGATCACTCTGGAAGAGACGATCCTGGTTGAACCGCCTTGACCTCTCGCTAAATCGTCGAATCCGCTTCCCCCAAGCAGCGATTTTTTGCTTCAGGTCATCTATGCGCTCCGTTAGTTTCTGCGTGATATCCGGCTGGGACAAACTAATATTTGTCCCAGCAAACGCCATTCTAACGGTGCGCACAACTCTCGGTCTATTATTACCCGACCTGAAGCTTGTCAGTCTGCCGATAAGGGCCCTTGCCTTTGCGATACGGTCCTCGATTCTTTTTCTCCAGGCTGGAATGGCACTACCTTGTTGAGTAGCACGTCCAGCCATGGGAAGTTTGGCGCCAATAATACGGCATACTGCCAGTGCGGCGCCAAAAAGAATTGAGTCCGTCTCGCAAAGGGCCCGGCTGGCTTCCAAATAGGTCATCAGCATTGTGTTAAGAGCCCGCACGACAGCCCGATTTCGCTTGCTAAGGGGTATGCGGGGAAGTCGCGGTCGATTTTCGAGAGGCATGCTGCGCGTTTCCAGCATCGACTCTTCCAATATGCTCCTCATTTTCTCTAGTTCGTGGGGGACTATTCCATCATCGTCTGAATCAACCACAAATGGAAAATTGACGGCAGCGTCCACATTTGCAGTTTGCTGCGCAATTAGTGGCGCCGCATTCCCAGCCGTAGCATTTCCATCCGATGCTTGAAGAGCCTCACGTCGTAGTCGTTCGAGTTCGGCGTCACCAAATATGTTGGAGCGCAGGATGTACCGAACTCGGTCTGCCAGGTTTTGCTCAGTGACGGATAGAGATGGCTCCAGCTCTGCAAAAAAGCGATGCATCCGAGCCCGATATGCCAAACATCCGGTTTCTTCCCCTTTTGCCCTAAAGTACGCCCGCAGTGCGTTTGCATTCATTGTTTGTGACCAACGCATGCGACGTGCTCCACCAGCGGCGGGTGCCACTTGTTGAGTCCAAGAAGACCCAGCCAACACCAAGCCTTCTAGTGGGGATAATAAATGCGGAGGGCTGCTAGGTGATCGTAGAGATCCTCGCGCTCGGCTAGCGGCCCGCATGCTGCCGCGTCCAGCGCCAGCTCCAGACGCGCCCCTCTATGCGCGTTCCTCTTTGTACTATCATCCATTTATTGGCGCCAAATAACAGGAGACGCCTAAGCCCGGCACCGTTTCGTGGTTCGGTCATATGCACAAACGGACCTTTGCACCCACAATTTTGCCTAGGCATGGCGCTCACACCTCTTGGCAGGGCGCTGACTGAATTAATTATGTTATTTGTGGGTATATTTTTGGTTGCTCTTCCCCTCGGACCGCCATATGGTGTAAACGTATACTGATCTTGTTAAAATTATTTTTACAATAAATTAAAATCAGTGTTATTAAATTACTTACGAAAAATAGGAGTGCATAAATCAAGTGGAGGTAATAAGCACCTGAAAAGAAAAATTAGCAACCTCTTCGTATATACTGCTATCCTGGTACTTTCTGGCGAATCACCCACTTACGAAGTACTGTGAATTATTTTGTTCTCACTTTGTCAAATCAGTGTAAGCGCTGGATACGCCATTTTTAGCATTCGAGGACAAAGGGCCGGCATAAAGTGGGCAAGGCCCCTAACATCTAAAGGGTCCGGAGTAAACGTGATATAAATAAAAGTCATAAAAGACATAAATAAATGTTTATTAAAATGATTAAGTATTTCAGAATAAAGCAAAAAGAGAAATTGTGTGCCAAGCATCTAGGCTTTACCACCGACGAATGTTCCCCCGTATACGTAAGTGAGCAGCTGACAGCAAAAGCAGCACGACTTCATTTTCTTGCTCGTGACCTTGCTAAGACAAAAGAATATAAGTTCTACTGATCTGCATATGGAAGAAATTATGTCAGGAAAAATGAGAGCTCTCCTATAACTTTTTTTTTTGCAATTTCATAGCCTTATGCAAAAAGCATGACAATTTGTGTTAAATAATTATTTTCTGTTCATATATTATTATTGTTTGTATGTTTATTGTTCTTGTAAGGTTAGTGTTCTTAAACTATTTACCCTATTTAATGTAAAATTATTATTGTTATCATAATGTTAACACACAAAAAATAACATACATCACACATCTCCATCCACTACCATAAATATATTAAACAAACTTATCTTTAGCATATTATACTATTATTCACAATATAATACAAACTATTCACATTATACCTACACATATCATAAAATTACTCCTATACATTCAATACATAAACACTTAGAATTAGGAAACGTATTGCAAATTATATATAAAAATCTGAATTTACTACTGATTATGGATAGTTTCCTAAATACTTTACACGAATTAGACAATTTAGGTATTGCATAATCCAGTAAATGTCGGGTCCAAGAACTCAGCACCATTGAGTACAACTCTAGAGAATATCAAACCACATTACCGCGCGTCGAAAAAAGTGTAACCACTATCCAAACGCGACGACGTAGCTTTGAAACTAATAACAATTTTAAATAAATATATATCTATCTCACACAAGTTGCGAAAACAATATCGTTGCTAAGATTAGATAAAGATAGACACACAAACATGCAATGGCGGGTTGGTGTGGCTTACTATATAAAATTTTACCTAAAATACGCATTAAAAATGATTTTTTAAGCTATAGTTAATTGTTTTTATATTAAAAAAGTATATTTTATTTTAAAATCTTTATTGCGTCCCCTTACAAAAAATGATACAAAGCTTATCGGATGAATGAAAGTAAACATAATGATGAAATAAAACATATTTTTATGAGTGTTTTTATTGTACTAATAAATCAAACAACATAAAATAGGTAATAAAATATAATTAATATAAAATTATTAATATAAAATAGGTAATAAAATATATTTAATAGATAATTCATTTTTAATACCCGACGTTTCGGGTGCTTTCCAGCACCCATGGTCACGGGGAACTGAGGTGACTGACGTCCCGATGTCAAAGTTAACCCGGAGTACCTTCAGCTTTTTAATTATTGTTTTTGGTCCGATCTACGCAGAATGAACTAACTGTATTTTGAAGTCTTGCAGTGGTATGCTTGGGTTTAGTTTTAATTTTATTAATTATAGGATCCCAAGCAGGTGGTAGTACCCAGCCTCCTTCCTGAAATTAGGATGTTTTTTTAATTTCAATAGCCTCACGTATCATCCTTGGTAGGAATCGATGTTCTTTCGCGAGAATTTGTGGTCTATCATATCTGATGTAATGGTTGAGGCCATCTAGAATAGAATCTCTCAAATAATACTACTACTACTAGAAAACAACTACTATGCCAATGTTGGGAAATCCTTGGCGGAGGATATTCTAACAAAATCTAACTCTATTAATTTTTCCACTACGGATAAAACAGTAAGCTGCCATGCTTCATCTTTTGATTTGCTGGAGACTGATGATTTGTAGGTTAGGAATATATTGATGAATCTTAAAATAGAGAGTGCCCCTGAATATGACAATATCACCATCAGTTTTCTAAAAAGAGGCCAATACAGAAACAGAAACTTTTTTATTCAGCTGGTTTTATTCAACAATTCACTGGTTCGCAAAAAAAACCTCTGTCCTGCGAAGAACCAGCAAGAAACCCAACGGGACTTTTTTTTTCAAATAATAGCTTACAAATTATATAATAATTAGTACCCATAATAACACGTCTGGTTAATCTTTGCTTTAGGGATGGCGTTTTTCCTACTGCTCTGAAGTTGGCATTAGTTACTCCTGTATACAAGGTGGAGATAAGAGCGATCCAAGTAACTACAGACCTATATCAGTTCTTTCCGCAATTTCTAAAAGTTTATAAAAATTGTTAAATAACCGTTTGATTAATTATTTAAATAAATATAATATACTCTCAATGTCATAATTCAGCTTCCGACGAGGTCTTTGCACAGGAGACGCTATTTTAGGACTAACGTCACTCATTATTGACCAAATTGATAAAGGAAATAAATGTTTAACAGTTTTTCTCGATATAAAAAAGCCACCATAGGCACACCATATAAATTGGTAGAATGTAAATGGGCCATTAGACGTAATTTAAGATCATAATTTATTGTACATATACATTCTGGCAAATAAATTAATTTGAATTTAAATTTGAAAGCTTTTTGATAGCGTGTCTATCCCCACTCTGGTAAAGAAACTTAAACTAATAGGTATACGAGGTAAACCCCTAGATTTATTTAAAGATCACTTAACAAACCGTAGACAATTGGTCAAAATAGGTAGTCATGACTCTGCCATTACCTACGGTGTCCCACAGGGGAGTGTTTTAGGCCCGACTCTATTTTTGGTTTACGTAAACAGCCTTTGTAATATGTCGCTACAAAATGGGCACATGTTCTCGTATGCAGAGGACACTGGTTTGGTATTCTGTGGTAGAAGCTGGGAAGATGTCCGGCACAGCGCCGAAGTGGGATTAGCCAAGGTTGCAGAATGGTTAAGACTGCATTTATTAACTATCAATACATCTAAGACTAACTATGTATGTTTTACTAACTACAATAGGACTCAACCTTATTTTGATATTAAAATCCATTTTTGTGTTGACCTTAACAACTCTAACTGCTTATGTGCTCACATAAACAAAATATACAGCACAAATTATCTATAATACTATTGGATCTGCGTTTGTCCTGGCATCTACAAATTGAACTTCAATGTATAGATGCCAGGACTATAACAGAAATTCATATGGTTATTCAAAATTTTAAGACATCTCGAAACACCACAGATATTAAAACAAGTGTATGATTCTTCAGTTTAATTAGTTCTGGTATATTGTGTTGGTATATGGGGAGGTGCTACAAAAACAAAATTTTGGATTTAGAAAGAGCTCAAAGACCATTACTGAAGGTTATGTATTTTAAGCCTTACAAATTCTCAACACAAGATTTATATACCCTGTGTGATCTTTTTATAGTTCGCAAGTTATACGAGTACATATTAAATATAACTCTTAAGCTACACAAGTCCCTTGCATATAACCCTCAATTCGAAAATAAAAGGAGAAAAACTAACGTAGCTCCAAGTGATCCGGCTAAAACAGCATTTGCTAGACGGCAACAGGCTAAAAAGTTCTTTTATTTGTATAATTATATAATTACATCCCCCAAGCAATGCCACAAAGCACGGTCCTGAGCCACCTGCATCCATCGACTTCCTGCATGTCTTACCAGGTCGTCACTCCATCTAGTGGGGGTCACCCTACACTACGCCTACCGGTACGAGGCTGCCACTCGAGAACCTTTTTGGCCAACTTTCGGCTCGAAGAACCGATGACCAACCTTATTGGTTATCGGTTCTTCGAGCTATATGGCCGGCCCATTGCCACTTCAGCTTACTAATTCGTTGGGCTATGTCGATCACTCTGGTTTTACTGCGGATATCCTCATTTCTGAGTCTATCACGCAGAGAAACTCCGAGCATAGCTCGCTGAGTGACCTTGAGCGTCCTCATACGGCCAGCAGTGAAGGACCACGTCTCAGATCCGTAAATCATCACTGGCAACACGCACTGGTTGTACACTTTAGTTTTCAGAGATTGAGGTATACCTGACGAGAAGATGTGTCGTAATTTCCCGAACGCTGCCCAGCCGAGTTGAATCCGTCGATTGACTTCTCGGTCGAAGTTGGATTTACCTAGTCGGACTATTTGTCCCAGGTAAACGTACTCGTCAACAACTTCGAGCAAATACTCCCAACAACTACCGGCATAGGTGTGATATGGACATTAAACATGATCTTTGTTTTGTCCATGTTCATCTTAAGACCTATCCGTTGGGAGACACTATTGACGTCATTGAGCATAGTGCTAAGGTCCTCCAGCGATTCTGCCATAAGGACTATATCGTCGGCAAATCGAAGGTGAGTGATGTACTCGCCATTGATGTTAATATCGTATCCTTAAGCTAAACATACCGAAGACTAAATCACGCTATCAACATTCCGAATCACACGGAGTGTTGGCCGCTCCCCGGGCAGAACACCTTGCCCGGCGGGAGATGTCCCCTTTTCCTTCTAGGGCCGACTACTTAATTAATACGTCTTGACAGAAGTCGATGTCAAAACGAAGTGGCTACTCCCATGAGCTCAGCCTGATACCTCATGCAACCAAAAGCGCTGACTCTGCAGTTACTGGATACTGTTTAATGCTTATGCAGCCCCTTCTAAGTACGAACCGTAACAACCCTATGGTCTTGTGGTTGCATAACTACGTTTTATTTTGATTTTAATACAAAGAGCTGTGTTTACATGTCACAAGCAACATCTGTCTCCAGTTATAGTAGCCATGACCGATAAATAAACAGTAAGAATAGTTATATTACCATGTTCTTTTAACTCGCTTTCGTATATCTGTTCGGGTCTTAATTAATTTTAAACTTAGTTCCCGATGAGCTAGAGTTGAAATTTTGAACGTAGCCCAGAATTGGATGGCAATACAAGAATATGAAGTGAAAATATGAAAATAAATTAAATTTCACTTATCTTAATTGCACATTTGCATCAAGAAATTTTTATGAAAATGTCTTTCCCATCCGGGGTCATCATTGGGTGCTGCTCAAAATAGGATTTCCAGAAGTATCCTTTATAATTTGACACACATGATTATTTTTGTTTAGTTTTTTTAATTTGTTTGATTATCAAGCACAATTGTTTGCATAATTTAAGCTTTCATGAAACTATCATTACAACTACGACGTATTTCCTACAGCTATGTCATTAATAGCATGAGGCAGTCCAGGTTGATAGAAGAAATTATAATAAAATTGCCTCAGGGCTAAATTCTAGGCTCCATAACCTATAACATATAACTCCAACTGTCTGTGGCGGCGGTGTAGTCACGCCACAAGCGAAACGTACCGAAGTCTAAATCGCGCTATCAAAGTTCAAAAGCTATTGCGCTATATTTAAAACAGCTTCCGAATTAACATACGGAGCGTAGGCCGCTCCCCGCGCCGAATACCTTGAGATCCCGTCTTTTCCTTCTACGGCTAAATGTTAAACACCAAGAAATACTAATATAATTTTAAATGGGGATAGCGGAGTCGTCGCGATACCACCATTTTTCTTCGAATCACACGCTGTAAGAAAGATCAGAAATCTAGAGCAATTTGTGATTTAAAATCTAAAGAGTCGCTCAGACAAAAATTTAAGGAAATTAATATATATTAACTTGGGCCCCTCAATACATTGGCGAAAACGTAATGTATGTATACAAAAATAAAAGTAGTTTTAAAAAAATAAGTTAGGTGTATTAATTTTTCTCACAAGGAACAGACACAAGCTAGTCGTACCAGTTACCCGACTCCACAGAGTCAGTAGTTTGTTCTTGGGGCGACGCTAAGCTTTATGAGATAAGATAAGATATCCCAGAAAATGATATATAAAATCTGATTTCCGCCAAGTTCAAAAACTTTATTGAACATTGTTAAGGAATTTATGGGAATGAGGTAATGGCTACCAAGCTATTTCTAATTCATTTTATGTTGTTAATTATGTACCATATATAGATATATAGATTGTAATTGTTAGTTCTTTTTTCAAAAAAGTCCCGCTGGGATTCTTGCTGGTTCTTCCCAGGACAGAGGCTTTTTCCGAACAATTCCGGTAAATTAAACAAAAGAGTGACTTTCAATAAGTATCATTTATAATCCATTTTAAATAAAAAGTTTTTGTTTCTGTGAATCTCTATATTATATAAAAATCTAATTGTTCTAAAGTGCTAATACTTCTCTGGCTTCTAGCTCCCGTCTCCTGGCTGAGGAGCTCGTGGTCTTCATGGACCTGGCGCGATGACTGACCCCCTTTGGCTTAAGGGTTGTGGCAGAGCCATGAACGCCCTTGTCTGGAATATCCACTGGAGTCTTCTTGGTCGTCTCCTTCTGTGCGGCTTCATCCTTCTGTCCGTTATCCTCGGACGCCGCTGTGGTGGCAGTTGCAACCGTGGTCTCTGTCGTGGTGGTATCCTCTGTGGTCGTAGTGCCTGAAGAATCTGACGTAGTTGCTGTTCCTGATGATGCTGACGCTGACGCAGACGTGACCCCTTCTGATCACGACATTTCACCTGTCGCGTCCTTATCTGAGGGACGGGACCAGGGACATGAGGGAGCATCCTTCTGTGACCTGGTAACCGGCATCTTGAACGGATTATTCTATATACTTCTAGCAGGAATCCGGCTCGAAGGACCAACTATTTCGGACGCAGTCGCCCTGGGACAATCTCCCACTTGATGACGTACGTTCCTTGCTTGGTGCTGGTGACGCACGTCTCACGCACCCCTGAATGCGTATGTATAATACGACCCCACTGGGATCTCGAGAGAGAGAGAGTAGACGATCAGCCGGGAGAAGGCAATTAAACCACTTTTTTCCTAGGTAGCTTCTTGTTCCTTAGGTTTCGGCTTCCTTTTTCCTTGTTGTTGTAGCCTCTTCGACGGCTGTGCTGCGACTGCGATTTGAGCCGTTTTTTTTTTTGCGCCCGAAGCTAATATGGGAACCCTCCGGAAAGCGGGGGAGGGAGGTGGGGAATGCTCATAGCATACCACGCAGCCTGCTACGTGATTATATGGAGACTTTTACCCACTAAACCCCACCTTTTAGGGACTGACTTAACGGTCTAACTAGAGATCTCTAAACCGTATACGGACACGACCCTCCTTAGCAGAAAGGAGGACGCAAGATTTGAGCCGAAATTTGCTCGACTTTTATACCCGCCGGCGTTACCGTGCGGACGTTTGCGCGGTTTTCCCTGTCTCGCATGTTGTTTTTATTTCGAGCCGAAATCTTAGGAGCCTATATTTATTAAAACTTTCACATAACCCTTACAATTTATACATCATTAGATTGCTCTAGTACTGTTCTATAATATAAAATAATAATATAAACTACTACTACTACTAGAGCAAAAACCCTACAAAATTGTTAATTTACTATACTTTTTGTCTTATATTTATTGAAACATATGTCTGATCTACTTATTTCTTTTTGTTTTATGTTACATTTAAACCTTTAACCTAACACTAGTTTGCAAGCGCTAAACAAAACTTTTATAAGTATTTACAATACAAATTTTCGCTTAAAAACTTCCTTACAAAATTATTATTAAAAGCTAACCTTTAAATTTTATAATTATATTTAAATTATATTCTTATATGAGTTAATACGCTAATTACATTAATTGAGAAATTATAATAGTCTTAAAACACAGTTCGTCACTGGTCAATTGTGTGCTTTGTCGCCGACAATCTGGGTATGGCTACTCATTCGTTCGCGTATTCATTTACTATCTAGTAGATTATGTGTTACTTTGTCACGCTTATTCCATAACAAAATGCAGTGACCGGACATTTTAGCAAACAAAATGTTTGTTTCGGAGATCTATGTATCTAATGCTGCATTCTAGCCTATTTCGATGTTTTGATAAATGTTACATAGGACACAGGTAGACTAGCTTGATATACCTTGTGGCCGTGTTAGGAAAATGGGAGATCTCCCGCCGGGCAAGATGTTCTGCCCGGGGAGCGGCCGACACTCCAAGTGATAGTTCGGAGATGTTCTATATTATATACTGTTTATGATTCGGAATGTTGATGGCGTGATTTAGGCTCCGGTGTGTTTCGCTTGTGGAGCGACGACAGCGCCGCCACATCACCCCCCTGCTCAGACCGGAGGTCGATAGTGCAGCCTCGTTGCCGACGAATGTGCAAGTGCCAGGAGATTGCCTTGTAGTCTGCGGTGAGTCGAGAAGAAGGCAAGTAATCTGCGAGAGTGCCGTGAAGCAGAGGCGAGCAGTAAGGCTCAGAGCCGTGCCGAACACTGTATAGCTCAGAGAGTAGCTTGAAGGAACAGGAAGCATTATTATTCCAGTGCTGCGATGAAATTGTGAAGCTAGATGACTTGCAGGATATGAAGACTGCAGACGATATCTGCTCGGGAGCGAATGGGTGGGGTATTACTATGACGATGATGAAGCTTGAAGTTTCCGAAGGCTGTTGGTTGCATATTCAGATCACGTCGGAGTCACCACTGTAATAGCGGTAATGAGCGGTCCACTATTAACAGACTCCGAGTGGTCTAGTGGCGGAGAAATGAAACTACTATTTATATGCAAACGACTGGTGTATCAAGTATTGAATATTGAATGCGGAATATGGATGGAATGAATTTTACGTCGACCCAGCCTTTATTTATATGTCCGGCTACGTCGTTAGTTAACCAATAGTAACAATTTTTATTTGCCTAGCTAATGACAGTACATACATTATGACTAATTAAGATTATTTAAAATACAACAATTACTTATGTACGTTCCATTTGCCGGCGTGAGACTCGCGTTATCTTCTAGTATCTACGTCGCTGGACTGGGCTATAAAAGTTGTGCAGGCCGGCGCGCGCGCGTAGTCGGCGAGCAGCGGCGGCGTGGGACACAGCTCCGGAACGGCAAGAAGAAACGAGCTGCGGCGTTGAAGAAACGGCTTCAAAATGGTCGACGGATACACAACGATAGCGGCGTGTGAAGACGATGTGGCGCTGAATGATATTTGTGGCTGTTTCTTGTTTCTTTATTAGAACGTTAAATATATACGTCAAATTATCTCGCATCAATATGCAGCCCGCAGTATCTCAGTAGCCGGGGATAGTTAGGAAATAAATGTTTTTTTCGCCTTCTGTGTTATGGTAGCAGCAGGGTATATATTATTTATTGCCGATGAGCCTGGCTGCTACAACCTCAAGTAGTATGCACGCCTAATGTGACGACCACATATGGAATTAAACGAAGATATAAGCCGCAGCGTGTTCCTAATAACAACTAGCAAATAAAAAAACTGTGGTTGCGTACCCGCCCGCTATACGTGGCAACCACACCCTACGTTGAATATTGGACTATTTATAGGCTGTAACGGTAACGGTAGCGGGATATTATATATCATAATCTTTTTTTTTTAGAAGTGCGGGCAAAGGAACATGCGGCTTAAAGTGTCGACTGCTGTCCACAAACAACTACAACACCAGCGGAATTGCAGATGCGTTGTCAGCGTTTTAGAAAGAATAGGTTGTTTTCTTAAGGATTCCTGAGTCACATCGGTCGTCCAGAAAACCCGCTGATAGTAGTCGATTCCACAAAGAAGTTGAGCGAGGGAGAAAACTTCTACTAAATTGCATAGTGGTGGACCGTCAAACTACCAGATCCAGGTATCGCGAGTTTTGTTGCGATGTGCGATGGTGAAATATAGCGGCTGGAATTAGTCCTAACAGTTGCTCTGAAATATATAGCTTTTCTTCGATGTTCTAATAAAAGTTACATGGTACACAGGCAGATGTAGTATAAGGAACTGTGTTCGTAGGCGGGGTCTGGCGTGGGCGTGGTGGTGGGGGAGGCGGCGGCGCTCCCAGCGGCAGCGCGTGCAGGCCTGCCACTGCTGCTGCCCACCGAGAGGCCGAGACGTGACGCGCCCGCCGCGCTTCAGCTGCTGCCGCACCCAGATATCATCGCACAGGTGCTGCACACACATACACACACACTCGCGCGCATGCACATGCGCACAAGCTCTCACGTGTGCACGCGCTTTCGCGCACACTCGCACTTAAGCACACACGCACGCAAGCACACGCGCACACGACACGTAATAAGAAAATATTTTAATAGATAAGTCGAAATGATGTTGTAAGGTGAAGGATTAATCTTGAAATATTTATAATGTTCGGATGTTTTTGCTGTTTCTATATCTCTGTATATAAATAGTATATTACGCACTGAGGCAGAAAAGTATAATAATGCAACTCGCGTGGTATTGTCGATGTCATACTTTCATCCCGTTGTGCGTATACTATTTTGTAATGTGGTGACACGAGAGAGAAATAAAAACCAAGACTGCTGAATAAATACTGAATATAATTGCAATCATCAATCCTTAAATAGTTACAATTAGGTTACATTGTGTATATGTTTATATGTAATATGCTCATATCTATTCCTTACATCTCATCTCCACCGCAATAAAAAAATAGATGTACTAACAATTCATTTTATTTTCGCTTATATAATAAGGTATGTCAATACAATGAGTCGATCATAATTATTAATTATATTTTATAAAAATTTTTTTATAGATAAATAGATTATAATGTACTATCGATAACCTTTGGACTTGATTATATTAAGCTTTATATAAATGTAGTTCAAAATTGTACACATTTTACATAAGAAAACATGAGACAGAATTTTTTTTAAAGTAGAATCATTGTAAATATGAATCAATGTGCCTAAATATGAAAAAATCTTGTAAATTTATATAAATTTACGCCAAAGTGTACTTATCATATTGGGTTGATATATTTTTATTTGTTTACGTGTAGTTGTGCGAATCGAACCCTATAGTTGTTATATGTGCAACTCGCTAGTAGCATTTTGGGTAGCGTTAATAGTCCTAATATAGAATTGCAAAATAACTATCTATCCAACCCTATGGATTTGGTCGGGGATCCCCTTATTACCTTGTATTTTTGTAGATTGTTAGGCCTTTTTATTATCATTTTTTTTTTCATAAATCTTGTACGTACTTTCTCTTTTTTTTATTATTTAATATTTTGACTTTTAGCTAGCTTTATTTCTCTCTATTCACGCATGTATTTATTTATTAAAATATCGGGAGCCGGAGTTTCAATTCACTTCAATTATATTTTATTTCATAATATTTATCATGCGAGTACTTTATACACATACATGGGGCCCCCATTTACTTGGGTATTATAATCATTTTATTTTATTGGTACATAATTTTTTTTCATACTGTATCAAGGTTGAGGTCTACGTTTTTTAAGTCACTTTTAAAGGACTCCAACAATTGTCACAGAGGAAAACTATGTTCGCACCATGATCCAACGAAGGATGTGACCTCAATGTACCATTATTAAGGGTAACAAATTTAAGACTTCTCTGGTCCCTAACAGTACTAATATGAGTAAACTCATGTACATCACTTAATATATCAGTCCAAAACCGAGGGTTTTGTCTGTGCAATACAGGATCAGGTTATTAAGACCAACAACTATCGGAGATACATCCTAAGGGATGGCACCGTCAACGTTTGTCGAGCTTGTCGCCATCTCGGTGAGTTACTTAGGCATGTCATCTCGGGTTGTTCGGCGCTTTCTAACTCTGAGTACTTGCACCTAGTAGCCAAGATTTTACACCAGGGGCTCGCTCTGAAATACGGTCTAGTGGATCGGAAACTGCCTTATTATAAGTACTTGCCGGAAGCTGTGCCCGAAAATGACCGCGCCAGGCTCCACTGGGACCGGGCTATCATCACAGACATTGTTCTTGCGAATAATCCTGATATTGTGCTGATGCAACACAGTTGCAGTTGCAATGCACGGTCAAGGATATTTTGGTCGACATTACCATTCCATATTACGAGAACCTAGTGAAAGCCGAATCAGAGAAAACAAAATATCTGGACCTGTCTCACGAGGTGACCGATATGTGAAGTGGTCTGCTGACCGAAATTATTCCTGTAGTCGTCTCTGCGAATAGGCTAATTCCAGTCAGCCTTCCGGATCATCTGAGGCGACTGGGACTCCGTGACGGACCGCTCCGGGCTCAAATACAGAAGGCAGTGGTCCTCGATACTGCCCGCATCGTCCGCCGGTTTGTTTCCCTTTCCCCCTAACCCTCGGCCGTTTGGTCTCCTCTGCCGAGGGCTTCCATCTGGTTGGGCTTTTATTTATTTATGTATTTTTTTGTATTTATTTTATTTTATTGATGAATATGTATATTTAACATTTCATTTTCTTTTATAATTGTATATTTATGGAACTGAACCAGATGAGAAAACTATATGAATACCCATAAATAACAATAAATGTAGCTTAAAGGACAATGTCCAAAATCGCCCTGTGCAATAAAAACATCGGACATATTTAATTATTTAATTATTTAATTATATTAGTTACAAATATTTTATAAGACGGACTAGCTGCATGCCAAAATGAACATAAAAAGTATTCTATTCTACTTACAACATTAATCGCCGCCATCTTCACCAAACGGCATGTAGTGTATAAAAATTACTAAGGACGCCCCATTGATTATGTTACGCGCTCAAGTCGACGATACACTAGCGCCATCTAGTGTCAGGAACGAGAGCGAGGGGAGCTTTGCAGAAAATGACATCACAAATCTTTCAACCGACAGCGCCATCTGAGAACTAAGTTTCTAGAAAATCTACACTCGAACACTCGCCGCTTTGCGCGCATTTACTTGAATATTCCGGATGCTTCATTGCTAATTTGTATATATAGGCGCTGCAAGATGCGAGCGGGGCAGTGTTGAACTCGGCGAGACAAGCGAAGCTTCGGAGCGGAATTAAAGTGAATTAGTGTGTTTAATTATTAGTGTTTTAAGTTTTAATTTGTGTAAAGTAAATTAAAGTGTTAATTTAGGTAATTTTATCGGCAATTTTTATTGTCACGAACCTCAAGCTCGTAACAATTGGTGTCAGAAGTGGGATAAAATCATGCCGATTTTACCTAAGGAGGAAACGGAGGGTGTCCGTACTCGAAGTCAACGCCAGCAGGAGATGGACCAACGAAGATTTGGTGGTGCAACGTCGCAGACGTCGGAGGGCCAGCCACCGGCTGCAGGCCCGTCGGTAGCTCCTACATCTGCAGCTCCTGACTTAGGTGCTCTGATGGTGATGCTGCAGGAGCAGGCTCGCTGACAGGAGGAGCAGGCTCGCCGACAGGAGGAGAGGCTGGACAGGAAGACCAGGTTCGTCGTTTGGAGGAGCAGCTGCGGGGCGGACAAGAGGAACAGGTCCGTCGGTTGGAAGAGCAGCTGCGGGGTGGACAGGATGAACAGGCCCGCCGACAGGAAGACCAGGTTCGTCGTTTGGAGGAGTAGCTGCGGGGCGGACAAGAGGAACAGGCCCGTCGGTTGGAAGAGCAGATGCTCCTCATGAAGGACCTTCACGCTACCTTCGGGAAGTAGATAAAGGAGGTGAAGGATAGGGTTGCTCAGCATGACAACCGCCTGTCGGAAGCTGAAACCCAAATCGCGAAAGCTGAAAACCGAATCGAGAAAGCTGAAACCCGAATCGACCAAGTAAACAATCGGGTTGACAACGTAATGGCTGACATGAAGAAATCACTGGACGAACTCAAACTTGTAGATGGAGCTACAGCTCCCGTAGTAGCTACAACACCTTCGCTACGTGGGTTCAAGGTGCCACCGTTCGACGGTACCTCTTCCTGGTCAGCCTACAAAATCCAGTTCGAGGCTGTTATGAAGGCGAACGGCTGGAATAAAAGTCAGGCCATGACTGCTCTCACACTAGACCTGCGCGACCAAGCCTTAACAGTTCTGGAAGCTCTCGGTGAGGAAGTGACTTATGAGCAACTCCTTCAGGCATTGGAGGCGAGATATGGCGACGCTCACCTGGAACACGTCTTTCGTGCGCAGCTTAAAGATCGCGTGCAGCCCATCAACGAAAACCTGCAGCAGTGGGCTCTAGAGGTGGAGAAGCTAGTGCGAAAAGCATACCGGTCTGTACCTGCGCTCATTGAAGGGAACCTGGTGCAGACATTCATCGACGGCATCCGCGACCTGGAAGTCAGAGCTGCTGTGAGGCTCGGGCACCACGAGACGCTTAAGGACGCCTTGGCCCATGCACTGGAGGTGGAAGCCGTGCGGCAGGATCATCGTTCCCATCGCGTCAGGGAGGTTGCAGCGGCTACAGTTCGCGACCGCAACAAAGGATACAACCCTAGGTGCTATGCCTGTGGGGAAAAGGGCCATCTTCGATCCAGCTGCCCTAAGCGAACCCTAGAAAGGGAAAGTGAACGATATCAGGAGGGTAGTGCATGCTAACGGCACTGCCTGGCGGCGACAGGATCGTCGTTCACCTCACGCTAGGGAGGTGTCAGCAGTTACGGTTCGCGATCACAATAAAGGATACAGCCCTCCTTTATTGTGGTCAGAAAACATCTCCTTTAAAGGGTAGCGCTACACTATATCGACCGTCGCAATCACGAACGGTCGTGCGGGCGTAAATTTCCTCGCATAATCTATCATCTGGACTAACTATAGGTGGAACGTTCACCTCTTCCATCTCTCAAAATTTGCGAACTAACGATTCGAGAAGAACAAATAAGAGGGCAAATATTTCTAGGGGCGGAACCAAGGATGACGAAGCCTAAGACGGTCTCCAGTACCTAAGGCGTGGTATTTTTTTACAAATCGTGGGTAGGCTAAATAAAATTATGCGAGGAGTTGCCCCTGACCTTATTGTGTAACAAAAGATGAGGGAAAAGCGATGCTCCAATGAGCATGTCTATATCTCCGGGGATGGCGTAAGTATCGTCTGCCAGAGTCAAATTTTCAAAATCAATCATTGCCGAGGTGTCGACCGAAACGGTTGGCAGACGCTCGGTGACTTTATCTACTACTAATGCATTTATATTAAAGTTAATGTTACGATCTAGCCGAGAATAAATTTTGAAATTTATAGAGCCCTGGGTAATTTTATTAGTACCTCCGATGCCTTTGACTTCGGGACATGAAGGTGTCTTATTTATTAGCAATCCTAAACGCTGGCAACATTGTCGCGTTATAAGGCTACTTTGTGATCCGCTGTCTAGCAACGTACGGACACTTTGTTCCTTTCCACACGAATCCCTAACTACGATACGGGCTGTACCCAGTAACACGGTGGAATGAGACTGCGTTCCCGCATTCGACAGTGAGCATAGGGCGACTTCACCCGGTCGACCGCTAGAATCGTCGACTTTAGTATATGCAGTTTCCTTGTCCGATTTACTCGACGCGAATACGTTGCCACCTTCGAAATATAATAACGTGTGATATCTGAACAACGGTCAAGTTTTAATATCTCCATTGAATACCGGAATATCTATGGGGGCAATCTAAGTGATTCACCTGGGCGTACCTGGATTTCTGGTTTTGCTTCGCTTTGGGCTGGAGACTGTAAGAGCTTTGCCGTTCTTTTTACGCGACACAACATATCTTCAAATGATAGAAGTGGTTGATAATTCATTGTATACTTAGGGTCGATTTGTAATTCTAAACTATTAATGTTGTCTAATATTTTCTCGTAATCCGACCGCAGGGAGTCCACCGTTTCGATTTCACACAAAAACGTTTCCCGCACTGAATCTACGTTAATATTTTTATGTGATCACTTATATATTGTATACGTGAAAAGAGTACGTCCCTCTTGGCGTAAAGAGTTCTAAGTTTAATTTCATTTCCACTAACTGCCATTTTATATCACTATAATTAATATTAGATTAATCACAAACAATCGTACAACGCTGGAGGATGGACACAATGTAATACAACTATATCTCACAGCACACTATTATCTTTTTTTTTTTTTTGCAATCAAACGAAATAACGCGCGCCGACTAGATAAGAATTTAAAGACTAGTATTATTTCTTACAAATCGTGGGTAGGCTAAATAAAATTAAGCGGATCCAAAATTATTTAAGTAAATAAGTCGATTTACTTATGCGAATAAACTAACCAAATTTTAAATTTAAAGTGAACAAAACTACATAAATCTATCCAATATTAAATTAGAGTGCATTGTCTAAAAAATTAGTTCAGCAGTTCGACTCGATGAAGCTACAAAGCACCATTCCAAATCCTCTCGAATGACCAGAAAAATGGTTGGGCAGCGGGCCTTAGTGTTCCCGAGTTCGATTCCTCGGTCATGCCTTGACCCTATTACGCGAGATGTTATACTAGATGGACTGTATACGCGGGAAGCTTCTTCTGCCTCAACAAGATGGCGGATGTGACACGCAGTTCCTTGACAATGCACTCGCTCTTCCGAAATCTATTGTTTGCCAAGGTTATGAAGGAATACTGCTTGAGCACATTAGGAGGAATGAAATGGAGCGGGTTAGCTAACAAACAAATGCTCAAGCAGGCATTGAATTCTAGGATAAAACACACTTACCGGGGTGTGACTTCGATGCGGCTTAGGCGCTTCCGTTGCTGTGGTGCAACTTCTGGGGCACCCCAGAGATGCGATCCAGGCCAGTTGTGCGAAGGAAGAGAGCGGTACGTGACGATATCTCACACTATGTGAGGCGGTTACTTCTGGAGCTCGACTGCTCCAGGTGTGGTTCAAACTAGCGGCGCGAAGGCAAGAGAGCACTCGAGGGCAGCGCGCGAGCTTATATTGCTTCGGCTTTCCTATCAATGCATCTCGGTCGAGCGCGCTTCTCATTGGTCGAAAGAATCACGCCATCTTCTAGAATCTCTTCTTTCCCCTCTCACCCCCTCCCCCCCTCTCAGTGTGTACGAAAGGGATAGGTCGAAGGAAGGACACTTGGCACAATATACCCTCGAATAAAATTAAAACAAACGAATCGTTTTCCGCGTAACCAACCAAGGTATCATAAAAATCAATTGCTTCCGTTAGTCTTGTAAAATCTTGAAAAATGGCTCGCCCGATGAAATTAGATTTTATGTGTGACCTGTATGACCCGGTAGGTAGCACTATTGTCGAGATCCAGAAAGCCCCCGTGCGGTAGCTCGGGGAGGCCGCTTGTTGATATATATATATATACATTCACCATACGAGACACAGCAGCACTAAGCTGCAATTTTAGGATTTTCTGTGACAAATTCTGTAAGAGCATTTCCTTCCCCGGTCGAGCCGACTCATTCGTGTTACAACCATTACATAGCCGCACCGTGGCTCTTCCACTTTGGATGATGTTTGCAGGCGTGCGCAGATGTGTGCGCGGCGAAGGGCTGGCGCAGTGCCGTGCTGCTGCATGAGGGGGGCGCGTCGGAGGCTGCACAGCTCGCGCGCGCTGGCCTCGATGTAGTGCCGCGCCAGCTGCCGCCGCCACAAGACTTCGCGTTGCTCAGGTAATGTCGTTTATCCCAAGTCGCTAAATAATGTCTTCCACACTGGATTTCGGCTATGTCGAGACTAGGCATCAGTGCAGGACCAGATTTTAGTACCTGAGTGTATATATACTCTCTAGCATATATGTACTCTATTTCCTCAACGGAACAGGTTCCGCAGGGCCTATGGCTTCACGTGTTTTCCGACGCACAGAGGTGAAAACACCGACAACTTCCTGACTCCGGGCTGCTACTGAGAATTTCTTGACATAAAAACCCAATAACTAAGTTAACTAGACTTCCTGATCAGCAATCGCATTTACGACAACTAGACTAACGAGGTATTGCCTGAAGGTCATACAGGTTTAAGCGCCAACGTCGGAACATCCCGATAAGCAGGTGGAGGAAATGTATGAGAATATTTCTAGAGCCATGCATTCCTCCAAAACACACTATACGGTGTTAATGGGAGACTTCAACGCAAAACTGGGCACAAGAAAAAACGGTGGGCTGAAGGTAGGCAAGTTTGGAATAGGGCAACAGAACCCAGGGGGCCGGCACCTGGACGACTTCATGAAGATAGAGGGACTTTTTATGATAAATTCTTTCTTCCAGAAGCGGCCCCACAGAAAGTGGACCTGGTCGAGCCCCGACGGTTCGACAAAAATGAGATTTACTTTATTATGACGACCAGACGCCAACTGTTCAGTGATATCTCAGTGATCGCAGGGGTGAAAACTGGCAGCGACTACCGAATGGTTATAAGGCACACTGAACCTAAACGTTAAATTGGAGAGGTCTCGTCTAATAAAGTCAACGCTCCGTACCGCTCGTGCTCTAATCCAAAATCCCGAAACCTTTCATCTCGAGTTACATAACCGCTTTCAGTGCCTAGAAGATTGTAATGCAGTGGACGATATGAATGACAAGCTTGTGAAAACTGTCCATGCGGTCGGAGCTAAGTTCCGCAAGACCCGCCACAGAACACAAAAACTCTCCGATCACACTCTTATTCTCATGGCTGTTAGACAGGAGACGAGGCTGCAATCGTCAACAGATTTGACAGCATACAGGCAATTGAACAGACAGATCTCCAAATGCATGCGGCGAGACTTACGCAACTTCAATACTGCTCGTATTGAAGAAGCGATTGAGCCGAATCAGGGCTCCAAAGTCTTTGCCAGAGATCTTTCTGCCAGAAAGAGCCAACTGTCAAAGCTGAAAACTGAGTGTGGCAGCATCGTTTCCGGGACACCTGAGATTTTGAGTGAGATTTAGAGGTTCTATGGGCAGCTGTACACATCATCGTTGGAGCCACACGCAAGTGTAAATAACGATCCAAGATGATATCCCGGACGTCAGTCTGAGCGAGATTAGAATCTCTCCAGTACCTTAAAAACGGCAGGGCCCCAGGTGAGGATGGAATTACAGCGGAGCTTCTGAAAACGGGTGGAACACCGGTACTTAAAGTCCTTCAGAAGCTCTTCAATTCCGTCCTCCATGGTAGCACTATTTCGGAGGCGTGGAGCAGAAGTGCGGTGGTCTTGTTCTTTAAGAAAGGTGACAACAAGCTTTTGAAGAACTACAGATAGATCCCTTCTGAGCCGCGTCTACGTGCTATTTTCGAGAGTCATTACGAATCGTCTCGCACGCAGACTCGACGACTTCCAGCCTCCTGAACAAGCCGGTTTCCGAAAAGGCTTCATTACCATAGACCACATACATACCCTACGGCAGATTGTACAGAAAACTGAAGAGTACAATCTGCCACTTTGCCTGGCATATGTGGACTATGAGAAAGCTTTTGATTCCGTCGAAATTTGGGCGGTGCTACATTCCCTGCAGCGGTGCCAAGTTGACTGTCGGTATATCGAAGTGTTGAAGTGTTTGTATAGTAGGGCTACGATGGCTATCCGAGTACAGAACCAGAGTTCACAACCTGCACTGCAGAGAGGTGTAAGACAGGATGACGTTATATCCCCGAAACTCTTCACCGCTACATAAGAAGACGTTTTCAAGCTACTGGACTGGAAAGGATACGGCATTAGCATCAATGGCGAGTAGATCACTCACCTTCGATTTGCCGACGAAATAGTCCTTATGTCGGAATCGCTGGAGGACCTAAGCACTATGCTCAATGACCTCAATGGTGTCTCCCAACGGATAGGTCTTAAGATGAACATGGACAAAACAAAGACCATGTTTAATGTCCATGTCACACCTACGCCGGTAGTTGTAGGAAGCACTACGCTCGAAGTTGTTGATGAGTTCATTTACCTAGAACAAATAGTCCCACTAGGTGGGTCCAACTTCGACCGAGAAATCAATCGACGGATTCAACTGGGCTGGGCAGCGTTGGGGAAATTACGACATATCATCTCGTCAGGTGTACCTCAAACTCTGAAAACTAGATTGTACAACCAGTGCGTGTTTGCCAGTGATGACTTACGGATCTGAGACGTGGTCATCACTGCTGGCCGTATGAGGACGCTCAAGGTCACTCAGCGAGCTATGGAGAGGGCTATGCTCCGAGTTTCTCTGCGTGATAGACTCAGAAATGAGGATATCCGCAGTAAAACCAGAGTGACCGACATAGCCCAACGGATTAGTAAGCTGAAGTGGCAATGGGCCGAACATATAGTTCGAAGAACCGATAAGCGATGGGGAAGAAAGGTTCTCGAGTGGCAGCCTCGTACCGGTAAGCGTAGTGTAGGGCGACCCCGCCACTAGATGAAGTGACGAACTGGTAATACATGCAGGAAGTCGACGGATGCAGGTGGCTCAGGACCGTGCTTTGTGGCATTACTTGGGGGAGACCTATGTTCAGCAGTGGATTTGTGATGGGCTGTAATGATGATGATGATGAGACTAACGAGGCGTCACACCGCTAAATAACTAATGCAGTCACGCTATTCTTCGAAGCAAATTATTTTTAACTAGATGCATTAAACTGCTGCTTTTGCTAGGCGACTGTGAGATCAATAAAACATACGGGTATTAAATATTGTTGTCAGAAACTTACTGCTAGTTCTGAAGAAGTTTGGTGCGACAAACTTCATAGTATGGTGTGACGCGGACTGCGTGATGCGCGTGCTGGATGCGGCGCAGCGCACGGGGCTGCTGGGCACCCGCCACGCCTACGTGCTGCTGTCTCTCGACATGCACACGCGCCGCCTCGACAGCTACAGCCACAGCGGTGCCAACATCACCAGTCAGTCACACAATATTTTGCTTTCCTAATTAAAGAAGGAGACCCATTATCAGTTTAAAGATATTACAAGTGGTACACTAAAAACTTTGCATAACTTTAAAAAAAATATTTACTGTTTTCCAAAGTATTCTCATCATATTACATTTTAATCACTTTTTAGTCTGAAGGGAATGTGTTTAAGTGGTGGTTAAAAGCTATCAACACCTCTTATGACTCCATTAAATCACACATCAAATCTTTGATTTTTGGAAAAACAAAAAATTGCATGGTGCGAAGTCTTGACCGTGGGTCGTGGGTCACGAGCTCCATCTTTTTGGAGCCAAAAATTACTTTGCTTCGTGCACTGAAGCATTGTCATGAATGCAACTTTTTGGTCATTTTCATTTATCTAAATCTAGATACATAACATACAGCTTCACCTATATTGAGATACATAATAATAATCAACATGTAATCAATGACATGAAAGTATCAGATGAATAAATTAACAAGTAGCTAAGTATGATTCCGCCATGCCCACTTTCTACATTTTTACATGGCTTTTAAAAGTATGAACAAATCTTTCTGCCACCTCATTTGTTGCCGGATAGTAAGGTGGTGTATAACTTATCCTAACACTTATCACATTGTAAAAATTTCTAAGTCTATTGCTAGTCCAAGTTGTACAATTATCCACCACCAAAGATTGAAATCTTTTTACATGCTATGCGAAAATGTTTGACATCACAAAAGCTTCAGACCATTTTGAGAGACCGTCAACTATTACAAGGAACATTTTTCCATAAATAGGTCCAAGAAAATCTGCATGTAATATTTTTCACCCAGAATCCAAACATAGCCATATAGACACATGAATACCAGCTTCAAATGGCTGTGTAATGCTCGTATGGTGAGTGTAGAGAACCAGATACCGTTTTTACTGAAATCGAGGCATTCCATCTTAGTCCTCAGGGGTGACAACGCATTTGCATTTTGATTCTTAGTTGAAGATAAATGTGGATATCTAGAGCCACAGCATCCGGATACCATCAGACTTACCATCAGGTGAGTGCTCGTTTGCCACCCAATGCCATAAAAAAGACAATAATGCTTTCTCTGGGTGAACAAACAACCCTGATCAATTATTCATTCATTTTTTTTCTGTTAAAGAAGGTCTAAACTGCTCACTTAATTTGTTTTTATCTGGCCTATAAAGTACCTCATAAAAATTGAAAGCATTTAGCAATTTTCTTTACAATATCTTTCCAAATTAGCACTCAAAATTGGAACTGACAAATAATTTAAAACACTTACTTCACTATTATCTAAGAGTGGGTGTTTAGAATTACTTTTATATTCATTTAGGTTTCTGGACAAAATTCTGCAGGATTATTTTTTGAATTAAACAAGAAAAAAAAAGACCTATGCAATAGATAAAGCCTGACAAATGTAGGGCCCAATGCTGTAAACGTTTGTAGGCCATTTTTGGTATTCCCTTTTAGGACCAAAAACTCTTACTAAAGCTGCATTATCAATTTCTAATTCAAATGTTCTTGTAAATAGATATTCATAAAATTTTCTCACTCCAAATTCGATAGCTAATGATACTTTTTCAATAGTAGGGTACTTAATCTGCCTGTCGTTTAATGTTTTACTCCAATGCCACAGGTTTGACCACTCCATCACTAGTTCTCACAGACAGTACACCTGCTACACCACATTCAGAAGCATCACAGCTTAATATTATTGGTAAATCACTACGAAACAGTAATCTGTTAACGTCAAAGTCATATATTTTTGTATAAATATTTTATCAAATTAATATAAACGTATAATTGCAGGTACATTTATTCGATTATTAACGTTTAAAATATGCAGATATTGTAAAATCTATAAGCGTTATGAATTTGTTACTCGTATTTTGGATCTTGAAACACAATCTCGCCTGCTCGGCGCTGTGTGAAGTGCATGTATGCAGCTTTAATGAGCGGTTATTGACATTTTGAGGCGATAATGTCTAGTATCACAGTGAATTGTAACATTGCAATGTCGTTATTAACGAGTTACTCGCTTTCGTTCAAAACAAGGCGGGAATAATGGATGAAGACAGCGTCATTCGATTGTGTACTACTTAAATTTTAACTGGAATTAAATCCCGAGTTGTTGCCGATTTTTATAGCCAGACATCTCCATAATCTTCCGCCAGTAACTTTTAATAATATTGAAGTTACTAGGTGCCTGAGAGCTATTGTTAAATTACAAGATAATGTAGCTGTAATTAAAGAAAAATAAAAAGCATAAAAAAGAGCATTTTTTATTAGATAATTATGTTGAGTACAAGAGTGGCCCTGCTGGCCTACTACGAGTAACACATGGAATACTGGAAGGGTCAACGACCGCAGCGATTGCAGATGTGTGGAAGGCGTGCACGAGAGACTAAACGACACTATCGTAAATAATACGAGTAGTGTCGTTTCTCTTGCGCACGCTGACCAGTGTGCGGCACCGGCGCTTACACATGCAGGAATGAAGAAGCTAGTGTAGATGGGAGGGGCAGTGTTGAATGCGTGTAGGACGGTACAGCGGTTTTGACAAAGATGGACGTCGGCGTAACAACTAAAATGACACTGGCGGCTGCGGAAATGAGTGACGGAAGAAGGAGGCCTACCGAGGCATCGAACTTTGGCACAGTGGTAAGTGTCCAATGTCAGTTGTCAACATCAGACCAACACGAGAGTAAGCGACTTGCCGACGTTGTGCGTGAAGGCGGTTGTTGGAGAAAAGCGTCGCCAAATGAAGAATGGATTAAAATACAACGTAGAAGGTTGCAAAATCGTTTTGTTGGGTTAAAAGGCAAGGCTAAAACACTGCCGCAGTGTATGTTCAAAGCAGCGGATATCAGGGTTCTCTCTCTATAAGCATACACTTCTCATACACAACACGCCCATCGGCAAAAAGAAAAAATATAGAATTACAATTTTTTTTTTTTCAATGTAACAAAACTTGGTATAAAAAATCAAGAAAAGATGTACATTATTTTAAAATATAAGTATATTCAAATTCTTATACTGTAACATACCTACAACATATTTTTTTTACTTTTAGTTCGCCTATTATAACCGAATTTAAGTAAATTATGTTTTAATATATTTTTTATAGAATAGGGGTGACATACGTGCGCACATTCTACCTGATGGTAAGTGGATGCTGTGTAGTGGCGGTTCAGAATATCCACTACCCCATATCTTCCCGTGGGTGTCGTAAGAGGCGACAGAGGGAGACAGGCAGGAGATGGCAGCAGCATCTTCCTGATAACAGCAACTGTAAGACAAAAAAAACTGCGTTTGCCAACCCGCTCGCCAAGCGTGGCAACTATGGCAAATATCCCCCCCAGAATAACGACGCAAAAAAACGGCCCCTAGTCCCCGGCGGCCCCGCTATTCCTGGCTACGGTGGCGACCATGGTAACGGCGGGGCAGGGGGTGCTAATAATCTCCGGTGGAGGTTGCCACCTACGACGACTCGACCTGGCAACATATAACGCACGCACTCTGAGGACTGACGAGAAGATACTGGAGCTGGAAGAAGAAGTAGACAAGTTGCGCTGGCATATTATTGGATTATCCGAGGTCCGAAGAGAGGGGGAGGATACCGCAATCCTTGAGTCCGGCAACTTGTTTACCACCGGGAGGGCGACCATCTAACCCAAAGAGGTGTCGGATTTATCGTCCACAAGTCTCTCGTCAACAACGTTGTAAAGATTGGGAGTGTGTCGACGCGGGTCGCGTACCTGATACTCAGAATCACCAAACGGTATTCGCTGAAGGTCGTACAGGTTTACGCACCAACCTCGGCACATCCCGATGAGGAGGTGGAGGAAATATATGAGGATATTTCCAGAGCCATGCATTTCTCTAAAACCCACTACACGGTGTTGATGGGAAACTTCAACGCAAAACTAGGCACAAGAGAAAGCGGTGAGCTGAAGGTGGGGAAATTTGGAGTAGGGCAACGGAACCGAAGGGGCCAGCCGCTGGCCGACTTTATGGAGAAAGAGGGACACTTTATGATAAACTCTTTCTTCCAGAAGCGGCGCCACAGGAAGTGGACCTGGTCGAGCCCCGACGGTTCGACAAAAAATGAGATTGACTTCATTATGACGACCAGACGCCAACTGTTCAGTGATGTCTCAGTGATCGGAAGGGTGAAAACTGGCACACTGAACCAAAACGAGTTCGATACGAATTCGATCACCGAATGGTTAGAGGCACACTGAACCAAAACGATTTTGCAACCTTCTACGTTGTATTTTAATCCATTCTTCATTTGGCGACGCTTTTCTCCAACAACCGCATTCACGCACAACGTCGGCAAGGCGCTTACTCTCGTGTTGGTCTGATGTTGACAACTGACATTGGACACTTACCACTGTGCCAAAGTTCGATGCCTCGATAGGCCTCCTTCTTCCGTCACTCATTTCCGCAGCCGCCAGTGTCATTTTCGTCAGCAGTTGGAGAGGTCTCGTCTAATGAAGTCAACGCTCCGTCCCCCTCGTGCTCTAATCCAGAATCCCGAAACCTTTCAGCTCGAGTTACAAAACCGCTTTCAGTGCCTAGAGGATTGCAATGCAGTGGACGATATGAATGACAAGCTCGTGGAAACTGTCCGTGCGGTCGGAGCTAAGATCTGCAAGACCCGCCGCAGAAGAACACAAAAACTCTCCGATCACACTCTTAATCTCATGGCTGTTAGACGGGAGATGAGGCTGCAATCGTCAACAGATTTGACAGCATACAGGCAACTGAACAGACAGATCTCCAAATGCATGCGGCGAGACTTCCGCAACTTTAATACTGCTCGTATTAAAGAAGCGATCGAGCGGAACCAGGGCTCCAAAGTCTTTGCCAGAGATCTGTCTGCCAGAAAGAGCCAACTGTTAAGGCTGAAGACTGAGTGTGGCAACATCTGAGGACACCTGAGATTCTGAGTGAGATTGAGAGGTTCTATGGGCAGCTGTACAC